AGTCATGTCCTCTATTGAATAAATCATTAAGAACAGCCCTAACCCTGGCGATACATAACAAATGATGAAGGTCTGTTGCAGTCTGTCCAGATGTGGGGGGATCACCCACAGTGAATCATGCTGCAGGCCATCTCAGGTCACTAAGATAAGGGCAAACCATCATCTTTCCACAGTTTCTACAAAATAAAATAAAATAAAATAAAATAAAATAAAATAAAATAAAATAAAATAAAATAAAATAAAATAAAATAAAAAGTACTTGTAAGAATTCTTTTAGATAGACTTTGGTATTTGCTGTTGTTTGCCTCACTGTTGATGTAGAAATTCTTTGCAAAGGAGAAGACAATCATGCTGGCAAAATATAATGTAGCTTTTTTTGGTTTCTTTCTCCTATACTTAAAATGTACGTAATACAAAGCACCTTGTTGTATACACTTTCCTACTTAATGAGGAACAATGCGTGTTTGATGAAATGAGAATAAAGCGAGACAAACGTAATTCAAGTCAAGTGGTGCTGGGGAAAGCTTTTCAGAAATAATGCTTAAAGCAGCAAAACCAATCTCATTGACATCTACATGTGGGTGGGCTTTTTTTTTTTTTTTTTTTTTTTTCCAGGTAGGCTTTGGTTTCTTAGGTGGGGAAAACAGTGACCAGATTATGTTCTAATTTGAGATAAAATTGCACACTCATCCTTAGATCTCCCTAATGTATGAACTCGGATATCTGGATCTGGAGTGGTGGCACTGTGTCCAGCCTGCTTTGGCTCTCAACCTGGATTTGAAATCCAATTGTGCTTGCAGAGGCTCGGAAGGAGAATGCCCAGAATGGGGGAAAAGGGTTTGAAAGAGAAGAATTATCTGAGTATCAGCTATTAAAATTGTCTTCTTCCTCCTGCACTTATTATTATTCAGTAAATTTAAAGTACAGAAAAATCTTGAACGACTTTCATTGTCCATGGAAAATGTGATTTCCTTGGTCAAAATTGCAAGAATGTTTCTAATTCTTTACAGATATAGCATTAATGGCATGTAAATTTTATTTCGTGATTAGTATTAAAATTTTCTTATATCTAGCACTAGTTACAGGACAGTATTTGCTATTGCTGAAACATATCCAGTGGATGAAGATTTAGCTAGATATTGCCAAAGTGTTTTCTCTCCACTTAGAGAAGTGAAAGCAAACCACAAAATGGAAAAGGTAAAGGTGTGTATGGCCTTTAACAAGAATGCGGTAGACATAGGTATAATATATTATTGTATACAAAAATAGCTGTTCATATTTAGGCTAATGTTGAAGAAAACAGCTTCTGTTTCCTTTACTTGTGAACTTGTGAAATGGTAGTGTCAGTAAAGTTCAGATTTTGCTCATTCGGTCGTAAAGACAAAAAAGAAAATCGCTGATTCAGGATGAGAGATTTAGATATCAGGGCTTTAATATTTCCTCTGCTCCCTTCCCTTTTTGCTCTCTAATTTTTGTGTGCTTTACCTGTACCTGGGCAGCTTCTTGCTGGCCCGGTGGAGGGGCAGGTGGGAGCGTGGTAGCACCACGCTGCAGCCTGGCTTTCCTGGCTGGAACCTCCTGGAGACTGCTTGCTTCTGAACCAAAGCTTTTGGTGTTGCATGGCTCCACACTGTTCCATTTCCTCGACATGAAGGTGTTTTACTCCCACACGTATAGTAATGGCTTTAAAAATTTATGTAGGGAAGTTTGTCACTAGGTGGCAGAATTAGACTGTATTAGTACCAGCATTTTTTTATGATGTGTCCACTTGGCTTCTTTGTAGTCCATAAATACCTCTTTGACTAAATCTGGCATTTAATAATATATACATTTTAAAATAGTTTCTAATAAACACAGATCTTTCAAAGAAGCAGTTTTGTAAAATAGCAGGTGAAGTTTGTTGGACTTAAGTATTTTGTTAAAAGTATGATTAATATTTTACTTTGAATTTGTAAACCTGCTCTTCACTCACACATTTTGGAAGTATTTTATTGTTCATGTTTGTAGATGATCTGTAAATTAAAACATATTGTTCTTCTTTGGTTATTTCTAAAGACATATAATATTAAAATATTTCTTTAACTAAATGTACGGAGGTATTCATATGCACAAATGTCTTTTCATGTCTCTATCTGCATATATTTTTTTTTTTTCACACAGAAATAGCTATTACGCAGGCAAAGTTATGTACAAATTAGTTTTTTTCCTACATGGGATGGTTTTAAAATTTGTATCAGTACAGCAGTTGTAGCATAGTTGCCACTACTCTAGTGCAAGAATGGCTTCTGCCTCCTCAGATGAAACCTTTTATTAGGGACGTGAGGAAAACTGAAAAATCCGACTCTAAACTGAAGCAGCAGTGATTATACTGTTTGTATTCTGGTCTTAATTTATGAGTTAGCTTCTAATGAAAAAAAATGATTATGTTCCAATATAGATTATATGTTGGTGCCTAGATTTGACAGATGCATCAGTATGGGTGCGGTGATGCAGAACTTGAGGACATTTGATTTTGAAGAATAATGCATATGTTTTGAAAACACTGTAGAAACCTTTCTGATCTCTTACTATGTGCTGAAATGTTTGGAATATTTGAACGATCATATGAGAATTTCTTTTCTGTTTTAGAGGATATGTTAGGTATCATGTTGAAAGTGGTTGTGAGCCAAGAATGTCCTACAGATTTTGAGTTAAGGTCACTGGTCCTAAAGGATGTCATGCTTATGGTCCAGTCTCTGTGTTCCGCACTAGTAAGTAGTAGAGAATTTAGTTTATCCTTTATTTAAATTAAAAATTAATTTATTTTTAATTAAGTCCTTAACTCAAGGATTCCTTAGACAGATTAAATAAATAAATAAATAAATAGGAATGCTCAAAGAACATGATGTGTTTTCTTAGCAGACATGAGGGAAATCACATAATTTTACTTTAATACTTAGATTAACTAATATGGACTAAAGTTATTATGTAGATTAAATTATATTTATAACAGTCTCGAAAGGACTCCGTAACATATTTTTAAAACTGAGAAATAAAATGTTACTTGATTTCATTTTTATTTTTTTATTTTATTTTATTTTTAATTTGTGTCTTAGCCAATGTTAGTTCAAGGTAATCCTTCAACCTTACTTCAAGATAATCAAGTGAGACTGAAACTCATGTAGCCTATCTCATGCTTTCTGGATTTAGGAAGAATATGACTACAATACCAGAAATGTTTTTGTCAATGAAAAAAGTAGACATGCATGCCCTTTCCTGGGACTCCTAGGATGTAGAAAGCTTTTTTTTTTTTTTTTTTTTTTTTTTTTAATTGAGAATATGAATTATATTGCTTTTCAGATGTCTGAGATACCGGTCAACAAAAACATTGCCTTGAACATGTTGTACTTCTGACGTTAATAAAAATTGCAGTTGAAGAGGTGCTCAGTGGGAAGACATCCTACAGAAAGGAAGAATAACTTCTGCAACTGGCAGATGCTCTGCTATCAAGATAATAACATTAAAATAATGTTAGCAATGGAAATAATAAATAGATTTTTTTTTTTTGAATGAACATTCTGAGTCTTGAATAAAAATAATACTCGAACTAAGTCTTGAATAATACTTAGAACTAGGCAACCCATTTTCAAGTTTTCTGAAGTTCTTATTCTGCGTATTTTTAGATGACACCTGAAATGACTTTAGGAATCAGTCTTTCACTGAGAGCCTTTTTCCTTGTAACTCCAACTTGGCACTGCAGTCATTGCAGACATTTTTCTACAATTGAAGAGTTTCCATAAAATGTAAACATATGCTTTCATAGATGTACTTGATGCTTTAAATGGACAGTCCTTATGAACAGTTGTGTGGAATATTTCATATAGACTTAGGTGCAGTAAAGCAAGCTTGAACAGGTTCATTTGATAAGAAGCAGATCTTCCAAAGCTGAGACTTCTTCATGCATTTGTAATGATCCTTGAGCTTTCCAAGGAACCAGAGCTGGCTTAAAATAATTTTTTACTTACAAAGTATTATTGTACAAGTTGCATAAAACCCTCCTACAGATCATTACAGGCAGCATCTAACCTCTGGCATAACCTAAGCAATAGGAGTTTCTTTACAAATTCTCACTCACAGCTAAGCTGGAATAACTGGAGACTTCTCTACAGTAGTTGGTAAATTGTTCCAGAGATTAATTACTCCAGTTAAAATGTATGCCTTGTTTCTGGTGTATACTTCATTAGCTTCGCTCTCCGGTCAATGCATCTTACTGTGCCTTTGCTTACTACGTTGAAGAGCTGAGATCCCACCAGGAGGCCTCTGCTTAGATACTTTCTAATCACATTTGAGCTTTTATATTTCACTGCTGCACCAAGCAGAAATGTATTTTAAGTAGTTTTGCTGTAGGTTGGTTACATTGCAGATTAATCTGTGCTGGTTCATGGCAATCCTCCATTTGGTCTAATATCCAGATTTTTTTATACTATCATGTCATTTTTTGCTATATAAGCGTATATATAGCATATATATGTGTGTTTGAATGTGCATATACATACATGAATTAAATAGCAAAGGAAGTATAACTTAGGCCTGAAATAATTTGTTGTACTGCTTTTTACTGCAGTTTATTTCTGATCAGCATATTATACTCAATGCAACAAAATAGGTTTCTAGTTTGTATTCAGCTGGAAAAAAGTTCAATAAATCAGAAAAGCAACTGCTCTATCTGAAGGAAGTTTTCTCTCCCTCTTTGGTAAAGTACAAGAGAATTCTGTTTAAATGAAGCATGCAATTTTAATCAATTGTACACTCCCCCCCCCCCGAAAAAAGGAAAAAAAAAAAAAGAAAAGACAAAAAAGAAACAGCTGCTGCTTGTTAATTAGTGAATGCCTTCACCAATGGACTCATCATTTATTCATTACTTTCAGCGCAGCCTTAAATTCTGTAAATAAAGGTGTTATCACCATGCAATATGACTGCCTGTTCATCTGCAACTAAGCAGCTCAGATAATACATGAAGAGTTTATTTTTAAATACAAACATATGAGCTTCGTACTCACAGATTCATTGCTTTCATCCAATAATTGCTTTAATAGTCCTTCAGCCTCTCCTGGAAAGCTATGTTCTACATCACATGGCCATTTGTTGCTCCTCTGCTAGGTTCACTTCAGTACATCAGTGTACTTTTTGTTATTCATTTCATGATTGTAGCCTTCATGTCTCTAATCGCTCGGTTTGTATCTATTCATAGCTTTTGTTTTTTAAATGAATTGCCTCTGTGGTGACTCCAGGAACTCCATGGCTTCCTGTGTGCCCTTTACAAGGAAATCCAGCAGAGACTGCTTCACTGAAAAAATTTGGCTTGATGGTGCAGATACATTAGTATAAATAAGAAAATCACAATAGTAAGTACAAATAGGCAGTGATAATCACACCTCATTGGCCATATAGATTATGTCAGTGATTAGAGACTTGTAAAATACAATTTGGTTTAGCTTGTTCATCTACTAGCTTGGTATGTTGCTGGCTACCTTTCATATAGGTATGTATTACGAATCAAGGAGGAAAAGAGATATAACCAGTTTGTACCTGTCATTATCTCTGACCCTGTCTTCACCTTTTTGTTCCATTCAGTCTAAATGAGCCTTTTTCATCCTGAGCCCTTTCTTTATTTTTTCCTCTTCTTTGTAAGTCTTTATCTCATTGTATTTATTTGCCACAAGCTGTTAGTTTAATTTATGGCTTCTTGTTGGGTTGGAATCTTGTCCTGCTGCCTCTTTCTGAATGCTGGTTGGCAGCAGATGAGAGGGGCACTCACCTGAGTCATAAGAGTATGGCTTAAGCACAAAGTTCAGATGGCCTTGGAAAAGCTCAGAAGGGTTAGTTCCTGAAGTCAGAATATAAGTAAAGCTGAAAAGCATAATATGCATACTCCTTAATAAAAAAATAAAATTAAAAAGAGAGAAATAAGTATAATTATTAAACAATTTTGCCTTATTAGGCTATTTTTCCTTTATCTTGCTCTTAGACCAGCTTGAAGCAAAAAAAAAAAAAAAAAAATGTTTATCTCCATGACACATTTTCCAGAGAAATATAACACAGTCCAAACATAAGGCTAAATTCAACTGGACAAAAATTTGAGTCTTCTATTCTTCTTTTCTTCCTGGTCTTTCATACTTTTTTCCTCCCTCTTTTGTCTTGTTCCCTTCTTTACCTCCCCCTTACAAGCAATTTTAGCACTAAGCACTACCTCTGTGCTCAGTTGTTGTAGTCTTATCTTTTGTTTTGCCCTTGCCTGTAGGTATGTTCTTCGTAATAGGTTTTGCAGCTTGTTTCTTCCAGCTTTTATTGTTTGTATTTCCCCACTTCACCATAGAGTTGGGAGCCTCTCCAGGTGACTCTGGGCCTCTGCCAATGTTGCGTATCTACCTAGAAAATACTTGCTTTGGGTTACCGAGCTAAGGAACACAAAGAACTAGAAAATGAAAAATCTAACTTTAAGGTCTGTTTTCGTTTCAATAATAATAATATAAAAAAATGTTACAAATAATTATAAATCTAACAGATATATACAGCTTATTTAATCATATTTTGCTTTTTCAAATGGCATTTTTAAGAGATGCTGAAGCTATTTCAAAGTCTCTGTCAATGGCTGTAAGTGAAGTATTTTCTCATACTAGTGGTATGAGTCCTCACCACAAATTTGAATGTTTTATGACATGAAAGACAGCTAACTGAAAATTGTGATACAAGTTCTGTTGTTTGTGTAAGCAAGCTGGAAGCTATAAAATATCAGAAGATGGTATTGTGAAATAGGAAGACTGGATGCCTACCAGTGGTAGGCTAATACTATGCTATTAAAATTAATTTGTCCAAACATATATATATATATATTTGAAAATACTTTATTCCCTACTTTCTATAGGACAACCAATAAATAACAGAAAAAAGTTCCATTGGCTGTAAGTGTTCTGAACTATGTAAAAGCAGTTTGCAATTCTCTTAAGTAAGGATAAGGAATTGTTCTGGTCTAAAATAACAGAATTAGAAGTCTTAAATAGATAAACTATAAATAGTATTAAATTATGCTATATGCATTATAATTAACATTACGGTGATATTTAAATGGTTTAATAATTATATAATGTTCTGTATATGTTATTTACATTATAATTGCCATGATAATGTTATACTATAAATGACATGCTATTGTAGTCTTTCAACATTCATTTATCAGTGTATTCTGAGAGACCGTATATTCTTTTATATCAGGCTTAGCTGTTATTTGCACATTTATCCAAAACTTACTCTGTAACCATTTTCTCACATACCATTGACAAAAATGAATGTATGGGTGGTTAGAATATTTTAAATCATCATACAATAGCTTTTATCTGCCAATATTTGCTTGATTATTTTTTTTTCATACGCATGTGAAGGTGTGCGTATATATTATTCCTGATAAATAGGGTTTTACTCCTTAGTAGTTGCTTCTCAGAAAGTACACAATAGGTACTACTGTGTTCTGTTATCTCATCCAATGGGATTTAATTTCCATTATTATGTCCCCATATGTCAAAAATAGATCTAGGTGAAATGGGAAAATGTGGGCTATATAATGTTAAATGTAGTGATTTCAATATTAAATATTACATTCACAATGATATTTTTACTTTCAAATTCATTTTTATTAACAATTTTTCCCCTTTATCATTCTACTTTTTTATTCTTAGATTTGAAAAAAAAAAAGTAACCGAGAAAAATTAATATCTTTATTTTAAAATATGCCTGTCCACAGCTATACTCTGAGAGGCTTCTGCAAAACACTGGGGAGCCCTGAGATCTTTGGCATCCCTTTCTGTGTCAGACTTCATGTGCATACACTCAGTGTATATATTTTGTGAGGGAGTAGCTTGAAGAAAGCTTATATCTCCATATGCAAAACCAAGGACTCCTTGCACATCACTGTCCACTGTGCCATGTGGTCTGATGATTATCAAGGATCAGAAAACTGCAGATGTTTGTCAGGTGAGTTTGGTGAGCTGGCTGTGCAGAACCACTGTTTCAAGAGTTTACCTAGGGAGGGCAGATGGCCCCAAATTAAACTAGTCTGCATTAGCCATTGCTCTTCATTTCCAGAATTTAATTTCTGTAGGCTGTATGGTACCACCCAAATAATGTCATTTTAGGTCTAGAGTTCTGTAGGTGGGTAATTATGTCAACCCGTAAGCTATTACCAAATTACCACCCTCTATGTAAAGTCCTATGGATTTATTTACAGATCCTCAGCATAAAAACTTTTGGGGAGCATCTGCAGTTACTTACTCTGTAAATCCATAAAAATACTTGTGTGCTGATTGCTGCATTGTTTGACACCTATTCAGCCCTAATGGTTGGCAATCACAGAACTGATGATTACAGGGGAGGCTGATAAACTTCTTGTTAGCCTCCAGCAACCTTATTCTTAAAACCTGTATTCCTTGGGATGATTTTTAACTGTTCTGGCTTTTTCTTCCCTGAGCTCTTGTCATCCATAGAAACTATTTCTACTTCCTGTAGCTTGGCATTTTCAGAAAGTAGCTTGTGCACATGTTCTTGCACAGTTATCACACATCCTTACCTGGTGGGACAACCACCCATCTTCTGTAGGTTTTTTTCCTTTGGAGCATGTGTGTGTCCATATACCACATGCTGCTGATTTGCCCAGGATTTTGGTAAACAGTGCTGGTTTTACTATGCAGTTTTAAGCCTGACAAGTAGCTGTGCTGCTCAGTGTGATATTTTGAAAAACTGAACAGGAAGCAATGGTGTTGCATGTTTTTTTTGATGACCTGCCCATCATTCCTGGACTACTTAAAATGCTTCTGGAACTGATGGGGTCGCCATCTCCTAAATACTTCCTTATAAACTCTGGGACAGTATGTTTAAGTTATCTTCTGCATTCAGGAAATGAATGTTATGATTTACCATCTTTGCTTAAATAAATAAATAAACAAAACAAACAAACAAAAAAAAAACAACAATATTTTGTTTTCTTCTCATCTCTGTCAAAGTACTTATTTGTGACCAAGGAGATGGTATTTGGATACTGTCTCAGTTTAGAAAACATTTAACATTTTCTGGCTAATGTGCAGCTGTACATTCAATGATATGTTGTATTATAGAACAGTATTGCTACTTTTGTTAGCAAAAATAATTTTTTTTGACTAATTGTCTGAATCCTGAACGCTTTCAGCACTGCCCCATGTGCAGCTCTTCCTACAAACCTGTTCCCTGCAGTATCAGCCAGACTGTGACTGGTTGAGGAGGATGAACAGTGATCACAGCAGCATCCTGTGTACAGCTTAGTTTGCTTTATTTACATTCCTTACTGCATATTTAGTAAATGTATTGATCTAGTGTAGAATTATTGTATCAGTCACAGGCTGAGCCAGTGTAATATTATATTTTGAATCAAATTATACTTTGTTATATCCAAGACAACAAAGCTTTTTTGATGTGAATTTAACCATAATATAGCTGACACTTTGCATATTCATTTCCATGGTGGTAGGTCTGCTTACTAGTGGGATAAATATATCCTCGAACTGGGAAAAGCACTGTGATAAATGTAAATTATTTCTCATTTGAAAAACAAACAGAAAAGTTCTACTAGTGGTAACTGGCACTTGGTTTTAAAGTGATTGACACAGAAATTTTATTTGTCCAAGCACTGCATTGAAGACTCATTAGTTGAGAGAGTCCTACAGTTTTGTTAATTGTAACCTCTGAGAGATAACTGCGGATAATTAAGCACCAATCAGATTTGGGTCTGACTGGAGTACACAGAATCAAACAAAGATATCTGTCTCAGGAAAATAAGAAGTATTTCTACATCAGCATAGTGAGATTTTTGGAATAACTAGCTAGCTAGCAGGGGAAAAATGTAATTGCACTGAGGACTGTGTGCTAGATTTTTGAAAGGCATACAATAATATGGTTGTCTGTAATAGCAGGAGGCTGGACTTTGTGACCTGGAAGATCTCTTTAAGTCCTGAATTCTTCATTTTTGAGATAAATATGTGTATATATATATAAACTGTATATAAACATATAGTATCACAATGGAACCACACTGACGGACCAGATAAGAGTCATAGTAGCAGAGGATGTTAGCTGAAAATTAACACAAATGTGATAGTCTAATCTTTTAAGAAAATAAACAAATAAAAACCACTGATATTTCTTTAGCTGCAGCATTAAGGTATTATATGGTTCTGGCATTGTATTTTTATTTTTCTTAATCTGATCAAAAATTATTTTGCCTATATTTAATTTCTCTTGTTTGGTTAAGATTTTGAGAACCAGAATGATTTTAAACTGAATTGAGAAGTGGATGATCCAAGAAGCACTGGTGTGATGTGGCTGGTAGAGTTAATGATGCTGAGGATGTCTGAAGGACACTATTCAGTAAAAAAGAGAAAAAGGATAAGAATGAAAATGCAAGATAAACATTTGTTAGTTTAATGTTTTCAACTTCACTGACACCTTCAGTCTGTTTAATCCTATAGGTGCTTAAAGCCCTCCAATGACTTGATAACAGATATGAACTGAAAGAGATGTTTCTGCTGGATGTGGGGAAAAGCTCTTCACCATGAGGATGGCCAAGCCATCCATGTGTACCGTGTGTGACAGGTAACCCAGAGAGGTTGTGGCCCATCTTCATCGTCAGAAGTTTTCAGGGCAGACTAGCTAAATCCCTGAGGAACCTGGTCTGACCCTGCTTTGGGCAGGAGCTGGGGTGGAGATGTCCTCAGGTCCCTAACACTTTTAACAATCCTATGATCCTACGATGAAGGCAGTTCTAGACATTCACTGAAGAAACGCTGAGGAGTTTAAGATCTTACCATTTGTGCTGCAGATAATGCTTGACTGGAGAGCTGATGGAGACATTAAGCAGCTGGTGAAAGCTGTTCCAGGCACACATGCTTGACTGTATTGAAGAATTTGAAGAACTATCACAGAATCCCATCTGCTGGTTTTATTTTAGTGCCACTAACCTCCAGCAATAGGCAGTACAGAAATGCAGTAACAAGCCTCTGAAGAACAAAAGCATCTTAAATATGTTTGCTTTTTAAGTACGAAAAGGGTGTTTTAAGAGTTTACGCAAGGAGAAATAAACCTGCTTTCAGAGCCACTGTTCCTCCTTTTTGGGACAGAGGCCTCACTCCAGGTCATTTAGGCTTCAACAGTGTCCAGCACCAGATTGGGAACTGAGAATTGAGTAGAAATTCAGAATGGTGTTTGGTGTAGGGTTGGGATGTTGTAATGACATTCCCTTTCTGAACTGATGGATAGTTAAGGCAGTAGGGGAGTTGAGATCTGAATGTGGATTACTCAGTGCTTGCTTCTCTTCTCCTGTCCCTCTTCTTTCTGTCCTTTGAAGTGAGGTGACCCTTCGAGAAGTTTCAGAAAGCTCTTAGCAGTGTGTCAGGCTTTTCAAATATATTCACAATATTATTCATTGTCTTTCCAAGGTCAAGCATTTTCAAGTCTCTCACATACTAGGGTTTGGATACCACTGGTGCATTTTTACTCTTATTGTCAGAAATTTACATGGTAATGAATACTCTTTTTTTCAGCAGTGATAATGATGTCTTGTTTTTTCAGCAAGTTAATTTATTTTCCTTCTGTATTTCTGAAGTTTCAGTCTGATGTTAGCTAGTTGTGCTGACCACTTGGATGTCATTGAGTACCTGAGATCACAAAGTGCTTCTTGGGAAGCCAGACTTCTGGAGGTCCTGTACTCAGCTGCAGATGGAGGACCTTTTCCCATTACTGAATGGATAACTAACGACAGCTGTAAGGTAGGTGTTATCTCCACATTTTGCAGAGAAGACAGCATTGTCCCAAACGTAAAGAGGTTAATCTTTTACATTCATGTTAGTCCTGCGGTGGTGCATTTCTGAATCCTTTGGGCAAGGTTGTGTTTCTGCTTAATGGAAAATTATTTGCCTGAAAGGACAATGCCACTGATGTGGGTTCAGGAAAGTGAAGAACAGTGAAAACATCTGAAAAGTGGGGGAGTGGATGAAACCCTGCTAATACAAAAAGAACAAACAGAATAATCTCTACAACTAGAGGACAGTGATACCTCCACTGCAATGGTTTTGTAATTAGACCTCTCCTCTTTAGCTGTATTTCATTAATTTACCATTAATGAAACAATAGTTCCTTAACAAGAAACGGGATAAGAGAAATTACCATAATAGTAGCTGATAAAGGACATGAGAGAGGGTCTTCCTTGCCTAAAATTGGAAGCTTTATAGTTTTATCAAAAGTATGACAATTTGTTTTACTTGTAGGTTTTCATGAAACAGGAGATGATAGGCAGAATTGCCTGGTTTTGGTTTCACATCAGAGAGAGACACAAAGTTGCATTAGCAAACAAAATTGGACATATTTAGTAATGGCTCAGTAAATATTAGTAAATGGGTGGTATAATTTAATCAGTATGGTTGCAGTTGATAAGGTGTTGAAGAGCTCCGATCAAGACTGCTGGGAGGCTAAATGAAAAGCTGAAGATTCAGAGATAAGGATTGATGGATATAATGTTATTCTAATTGAGAATAGTAGAGAACGTAAAGCACTGAGAAATTAAATTGATGACCTGTAAAACAAGCTTAGATTAAGAAAAAAAAATCAGATTGATAGAGGTTCCTGCAGGAATGCAGGCAGAGCAAGGGGCAAGAGAAGACAGAATGTGTAGGATAAGCTTAAATATTGCCTAATTGTTTTCTCAGGTAAGATAATATGAATTTAAGAAGTGTTATAAAAGTTTGGGTGTCAGGAAAAACCTGTGCACTGTGGCTAGAATTTAATCTTCTATTTTTATTTATTTATTTATTTATTTATTTATTTATTTATTTAGTAGCACTGAGGGTGAGGCTGGGTTTTCCTTACCCCAACCTTACCCCTTTCCTTACAAATCCCCTTTCTTCCCAGCGATGTCCTGTTTGGGAGCTGTTGGGTGTGCTGAGATTCCCTGTCCCACATCTCACACCACTCTGCTCCCCAGAGTAACCTAAGCACATGGTTACTCAGTTGGGGGGTGAGAAGCTTTGAAAAGAAAGGGAAAGGTGTGGGACAGCACATCTCTGAGAACTGTACTGCACTTAGAAATAACCTTTGTTCTTTAAGCTTTGGCCCGTTTGCTTGTACTGTGTCTGACTTCAGACTGCCATTGGAGATGAATATAATTTGGAAAACTACCAAATTTAGCACCTTCTCTGGGACTTTGTTGCAGCCATACTGTTTTTATTGTTGCCAGACCTCTAGTTGGAAAAAACAGTTCGGTTACAGCCTTCAGCAACTTCTGCAGGGTGCACATGGGGGACACGGAGAGGCAGCAGCGGGAGTGCAGCATTTCAGAACGGAGCAAGGGGTCAACGCTTTGCCACGGTCTGAAAGTCAAAGCTGGAAGTGAAGAGAAATCTGAAACGGGAGCATATTGAAAGTCCAATCAATCCACTTAACTTTCTTTCCTGTTATTTAAGATGGTGCTTCTGGTGCTTACTAGTATACACCTGAGGCTGTAAATATTCATACCAGAAATTAGAATAATAGGATCATAGAATATCCCTAGTTGGAAGGAACCCCCACGAATCATCATGTCCAACTCCTAGCTCCACACAGGACCACCCAAAAAACAGACCCTATGTCTGAAAGCATTGACCAAACACTTCTTGAACTCCCTCAGGCTCGGTGCTGTGACCACTGCCCTGGGCAGCCTGTCCCAGTGCCCGACCACCTCTGGATGCAGACATTTTCCCTTCTAGGCCCTTCACTATCTTTGTAGTCCTTCTTTAGTTTTATATCCTTCTTACTTGATGGCACCAAAAACCGTGCGTAGTAGAAGAGGTTCCTCAAAGAGGATTGTATAGGATTTCCCTTTGTAATTACCACTAGGTTTGGGATTTGCCTCAATGGCAGAAAAAAAATGGTCTGGCAAGAGAAAAATGGTCTCTCTGTACCCCAGCAAAATCTGCTGCTATGTGCTGGAGTTGTGAGCTGACACTGGGAATTACTCAAGTAGCAAATCTGGAACTTGGCTTTATACCAGCATAGAAAATGAGCCGTACCCACAGCATGTGTCCAGGGACTGGGGGCTCTTCTTGCCTGCAGAAATATCGAGTGTGCCCCTCTGAGCTAGGCATGGCGTGGCCTGGGGAATGGCGCAAGTCCACATGCCTTGGAAAAACAAAGCTGACACTTTAAAGACAGGCCTGGCTGAAGTCAGAAGGAAAAAAGAAGCTCATTCATCTAGAGGATTTATATAAAATTGGCTAGGGGAGCTGTAAGTCTGTCAAAATGACAACTGAGCACAAAGAGGATGCAACAAAATGAGGAATGAATGACGGAAGACCCAAAGAGGGAATAAGTGAGGGAAGGGGTTTCAGTATGGGGAAGGACCAAGGCTGTACAGGACTGCCCAGAGGAGAAGTGGATAGTAAAATGTGAGCGTGAGCATCACAGGGCTGTGGCATGGCATGCACCCACAAAAGGGCAGGGGCTGTGGGCAGACTGCAGTGCCTGCACACCCCAGAGATGGGTTGAGAGAGGAAAAACAAGCTTCAGAAGACTGAAGTCTCTCCTCTCTAGTAAATCTGGAGGATTTGTTTTCTTCCGAGCTCTTATTTTTCTTTAATTTAGGTTTGCGATTTAAAGTGGAAGGTTGAAAATAACTGCAAAGGAAGAAATAGTCCAAAACTCATATGAAACACATTTTTAAGGAAAAGAAACATAAAAAAAAATCACTGAATTAATATATTTTTGATACATTCCTAATGCATTTCAAAATTATATCAGTGATAAAGCAGGAGGAGTTTGATTAAGTTTTGCAGCTGTTCCCGACCTGTGCTTTTATACAAGTATGTATGCCTGGTGCAGACTACGTGGGCATTACCTAGAGATTCTTTCCAGCCATCTGTTTGATGCAGTTTCCATGTTACCAGGCTTTAGTTACTGCCAAAATAAAATTAATGATTTCTGCACTAATCTAATGACTCCTCACTGCATCCTCAAGTGGGCTCTAAGTAACAACAGTGGTATTAAATGCTTTGGTGCTTTATTCTTCTTTAATACCTTAGTCCGTACTTTAATGCCAGCCACCATCATCCTGTATTAGATTGCTACAGGATATGTATCACATGTTTCAGAGGACTCAGGGTTGTTGTTTCAGTGTGTGAGCCTTCCTGGGCTCCAGCAGAAAGTTCCCAGCACTGTTGCTGGAGCAGCTTGCTTTTGGGATTGTTCCCTCAAGTACTTTTTAGCTTCTTATTCCTAATGTTGATGATTTTGCAAAGTATTCAACATTGAGGTTCACTTTCCACTCTGTAGTCGTGGCAGGGCCTGCACAGTGTGGACATGACAGGTATCACGTCATGTAATGTAATTTCTAAAATGCTCTTTGTTAAAATTATGGCTGTCGGTACTAAATAATCATGAAGAAATTGCTCTGGCACTGACAGAGAATGGAACAGAAACTACTGGTAAGAATGAGGTAGCTGCAATAAGCATAGCTTTCTTTTATTTTAATTGTTAAATGGAATATGCTGTTGTTTATGTCTTTCACTGCTGTAAAGGACTCATGGAAGACAGGACGGTATCACAGGCAGATGTGAATAATTTCTACATATTGATTTTCTGGCTCTTGGCTTATTATTTTAAATGTATTTCCTTCTTCAATTTTCTGATTTTTTGTTTGTTTATTTGGAGCTTGGTCAATTTGTTAGAAGACAAGAAGAAAAAGCTAAGAGGAAAGCCTGATATTTCTCTGTCTTCCAGCTCAGAGATGGGTGACTCAGATAATGGCAAAGGAGTGCTTTTTTCACCAGTAAAGTTAAAATGTGAATACTGGACCTCAGCTAAGTGCTGTAACTTGCCTGTTTCACCTCTAGTGTTCAGTCTTCTGGGCCCTCGGCACTCATTAAATTGTGGAGCTCAGCCTCCTCCTCCAAATGTTCTCCTGTATCTGTGGGATTTACAGCCACTGTTTTCTCATAACAAAACCAAAAATCTCTCTCATGCAGAGCTAGATGTAAAGCAAGAAATTCAAATACACAAACATGCTTTTTGGCATTCCCCTGAGGACATTGCAAACCGTATTTAAGCTGCTGGAAATGAAACACTGATTTTTTATTTTTATTTTTTTATTATTATTTTTTTCTTCTCTGCTGCTTCTCTCTGATCTTCAGGACCTTTTTTTACTTTCATGACTGTCCCTCTAGTAAACAAAAAATTAGCATGTCTTACCCAACCTTGTTAATGCTCACCTTTAAATTTTCCAAGGAGATGCTTCTTCACCTCAAATCATGAGCTCAATGCTTGTGCAGCAAATTTACAATCTGCTCTAGGACTGAAGAATATTCAAGGTGTTAGGGCATCTAATATTTCTTCAGAAAAGTGTACTAGGCTACAATTAACTTGATTTATCTTTGGGGAAAAAAATCTTTTTTATCTTTTATCTTTTAAAATGAAAAAGTAATTTGCATCTTTAATAGTAAAATAATCTGATGTGAATTACCTGGGGTCTTTTAAGACAAAACTCCTTCTTAGTTCTGTCTGACAGTGACACTGCTGGGGATGTAAACATGAATTCCCACTACTGAATTTTATTCAGAAAAAGGCAGTTTTTCTTTTAAAGAAGTAAAAACATTATTCTTTGTATTTGATTTAGCCTGGTGTTATGTAATACCTTCATGTACTTCAAAATTTTGCATTATTGTGCATAGAATATTATTGTATGTAGCATACTCAGAATGAGTCAACTGAACTGAACTCTAAATAGAGAAAATTGTATTTTTATATCAAACCAATTTTAATAGAAGGCCATGTTGATTACACTAGAAATAGAGAAATAATAATGAACTGTTATTAATAGATGACAAGTAGCCATGTTTTTATACAAATTGTACTAAATTTTCACACTGGAAAGACATCCTAGAAGATAATAGGACACTAAGCTTTGTGAGTAGTACATATAAATTTTAAATTATCTCATCTAAAGCACAGTTTTGTATCTGATGGTTGCCTGCATGCTATATCATGAAAATACTTCAACTAGAATTTCAAACATTTGTTTTAAAAATATTTTATTTTTTTTCTGTTTGTGTAAATTAAATACATTGGCCATGCTACCAGGTATCCAAGGAATAACATCTACAGATATACAGGGCTAACTCTGTCAAAAAACAAAGTTTGTTCCAAGATTCAACTTCTTTTTTTTTTCTATTTTTTTTTTTTTTATTTTTGTGTCATAGTCAGAAATTATTACCTTTCATAATAACAAAATGCCACAATGTCACTTTCTCTTTACTTTTTGTTTGTTATGTTTTTCCCAAAGGTGCCACTACTGCCAGTTGTCAATTCGTCTTTGTTTTAAGCAATGAAGTGGACAAGTTGCCAGAAAAAAGTAAGTTATTTGAACACTTTACAAAAGGAGGCTTCTATAAGTGTCACAGAAAAGTTTTGCCTTACTGGGGAATATATTAGGACCTCTCTGTGACATTACTGACTGCTTTTTATGTATAGATAGCTTTAGAAGAAGGAAAAGGTTCATAATACTAGGATACGCTTTCCTCTGTTCCATTTTTTTAGGTCATTTTAAAATCAGAAAATATTTCTAGCATTCCTTCTACTTCAAGATAGTATCTGCAAAGAAAAGGAATATACTGATATTCTGTTAACTCAGCATTTTGAAAATAATAACAATTGAAATCTCCAAAAGAAGCTACTGAAAATTATAGAACTTAGTTTTCTTTTTGTTCTTTATGTGCTGTGGACTTTAAAATACAGCAGCTCAGGCAGTTGTCAAAGGTGGGCAGAACGGGGTGCAATTTCACAGTGGTAGTGAGCCCAGAGCAGGAAATGAGGACGAAAGAAGTCAGAAGAATGGGTGAAACTGGGATGGGGTCATGGGCATCGGGATGGAGGCAAAAGTTGCTTTGGGATGTGATGGAGCTGAGATGCTCCACCTGTGACACTGATAATCAAATGCATGTTTTGTATTCTACCCACTGTTTCAGGAAGCATATCTATTGCTGCTGCTTCTGATGAAAAAGAATGGTCAAGTAAAGAGTCGCAGATTCCATAAGGTATGATTTCCGTGTTTTCAGAGTTTTCAAAGTAGTTTAAGATGTCTTTAAGTCAAGTAACATCACCATTGCAAAGTCAAGCATTGAAAAATGCAGAATTAATGTTGTCCTCTCCCCCCCTCCCTTTTTTTTTTAATGGCCCATTTCTCCAAATAAAGCATTATCTAGTGTATTACCTAATCAGATGTTTATTTTTCCCCACAGGGCCCTTCACACATAAATAGCACCCAATAAAAGTACTACTTATGCATAGCTTACATTTTCTACAATGGAAAGGGTCTGTAGGTAATGATTCCCCTGCACTTGCAAAGTTGCCAAAACCCTCAGAACAGAGAGGTGGGAGCTTTTTAAAATGGCTTACATGAAGAAAGATGTGCTTTTCTACCAGCATGTTGTATTTTATTTTGAGAAAAATCTTGCTTTTTTTTTAACCATTTGGATAATTATGTAAGGAAAACACCAAATACAGTTAGGAATGTGTTTATCGAGAGAGAGTACTTAATAATGAGCAGATTGCTCAGCTATCAAATTACCAGATTGGTTTTGATTGAAGTACCTTCAAGTGGAAGATTCCACAAGTTAAAGCCTACTACATTGGTAAAAACTGGCTACAGAGCAGTGATGGTGAAAAGCTTAGCAAACTGGTGGATTGTAAATGAATGGCTCATAAAAACAGTGTGCTGGTTTATCTGCATTCATACCGAGCCAAACAGCCTGCAGTGGTATATTAAACCGTTAAAATTACTCACCATTCCTATGTTTTTCAACAATAGCACCTTTTCAAATTAATATATGCTGTATTTTCAGATAGCCTGCCTTAAAGTGTTTCTAAAATGATTTTTATTCCTGCTCTTAGTTTGATTGTTCACAATCATGGGTCACATTTCTTAATGTTATATTTAAAAATACATAAAATTATTCTTGTGCTGATGGTATATGCCAGAAAGGTGTGTATTCATAAATACATTAAAAGATATAAATTCAGATATGTAAAAGTACAATGTAATAAAGCATTAAAAATGTATTTTCATTTGTACAGACATACAGTACTTGCATAATGCTTCTTTTCTCAAAGTGCCTTAAAGCCATCCTTGTATAGATAGGTAAATCTGAAGTTAGAAGACCATCCTATTTGTCTAGAGTTAATAAATAAATAAATGGGAGGGGAGGAGCTTCTTAAAAAGAAACAAATCTTTGTCATGATAATGCCACTAGATATTCTACTTCCAAACTAACTGAATTCCATGAGTTCAAAATATTATCTCAACATACTCTAGATTTTATTGCTTCTCTCTTAAAAGTATTACATTAAAAGTGCAGCTACCTGTAATGTATGGGACAGCTTTATCTTTTCATAACGTGTGGTATAGTTATCTGGAAGGATGGTCAGTGTGCAGGATGAAATGAGCATTACTGAGTTTATAAAATTACACTTCAGAGGAATCTTCTAAAATAAATAATGGATTTGTTTACTGATATGGGATACTTTATAGTTAAATTAAATAATTCATTTACTTGATTGGAAATTAATAAAAGATAATATTGTATATTCAAATGATCAGAAGAAAGTAGAATTGAAACTAAGAAAAAAGCTACATTTCTGTTTATTTTTTGAGCCTTTGAAAAGGCTCTCAAAATATACCTGGGAATTAAAAAAAAATTAAAAATAAATTACTACTCTGATAATTTTATTATTTTTAATCTAAGAATACTAAACCCAAGAGATTTGATGGAGGGTAAGGAAGTAAATATGCAATTTTCTTTTTGTTTACTGTGCATTTATTCATTTTCTTTTATGGTGTTTTGTACTTACAGTTCTACTGATTAGCATAATAGCAGCATTGTCATGCACTGCTTTAGGGAGAGCACATTGTGTTCTTGCCTGCCTTGCCTTGCCTGGAAAGGAGAGTTATCTGGATCAGGAACGTCATGCCTCCTGCTGAGGGAGGAGCATGGAATATGTGCATGGGAGATGAAATCATGAAAGGACGAGGAGACAACAGCATGCTCTGCTCAGATCTCTCCCAGGAAGAGACGTGGGTCACCATAAAAACTGAACGGATGTTGTATATTTTTGAAGGTAATATAGAACTGGAAGTTTACGGAGCACAGAGATAGTTCAATATATTACGACAGGGCATAAAGCCTCTGTTGACAGCACTTCCTTGAAACCAGATACTAAAGGTCCATACTCTGAGCAGCTGTCAGAGTATGTCAGAGTAACATACGTTGAATTTCACATCCTGGTGTATCCCATGGTAATTTGTTTGCTTACACTGTCCCTAAGAATGTGAAACCACTTCAGATGGTTTTTGCAATGGAATTTTACATGACACCTGCATGTCTGATCAGAAAGTCACTAATTTGTACTGAAAAAAACACAGCCAACTACTACTCACATCCTGGGAGAAAAAATATATGTATATCTAAACAAAAGAAGCATTTAATAACTTTATTTATTTATTTATTTTTTTCCTCCACCTCCAAAAGCTACAGATCCCTTTTGGCCTGGATTATTTTGTATCTGAGTACATATAATGTATTTGCTTATCTGATACTTGGACGGATTCCAGGTTATATGATTACTGTGCACATAACCCACTCCTCACTTTTGCTATTAAAAAATCAGCTTGAAGTATGCCAATAACTACACTTTATTGGTTTTAAGTTTACAGTATGTTTAGTTTTGCTTGCCTTTGTTTTGGATAAGGAATTACATTTCTTTTTTTCCAGAAGACTAGAAAGCTCTAGCTTTAGCCATGTGTAACACATAGATGTTCCTTCCCCCTCTACACCCCATTATAGATATATGCTACTTCTGACATAAGAAAAGTGTTTTAAATACAAAATATCTCAAATACACAAAGATTATCATCTACACATTCTCAATATTATGTGGAAATTTTGGTTTCTGCTGCACTGCCAAGCCTAGGGTAGGTTGGCATCCTACTTCACAGTTGGTAGCTCTCCATACGTGAAGCACCGGTGTTGCTGTTGTGGTTGCTTTAAGAATTGAATGCTTTTGTGTTTACTTGTGGTTTATTTTTCTAGCTAGTGACAAAGTAAACTATGGTTTATTTTTGTTTATTTAGTTTATCCATAAACATGAGTGCTATGCTGCCACAATGGGGAATAAGTGGGAGAATTAAATGCAATTACACTTACTGAAATGGTATCCAAATTTCTAGCAATGCTTTTATTTTTGCTTAAAGATCAACAACAACAAAATACAGGCAATGAGGAAACTAACCTATGTAAGGTAATAGCTCCTTCTCCCTCTATTTCAACTGATATGCGAAAATTGTTTTTATTACAGCATATGTGAAACAACTGTATTCAGCAGTGCTACCAAAAAGGTACGGAAGAGATCAGATGTAATGTTACTACGCAGTAAAGAGATGAAATTTTGTTTCCATGTCTTAGGATAACCAAAGTTTAAGTTCTAAAATATGTATTTTGTTTAGGAAATTAAGAAACCCAGAACAATATTTTAGAAGTTAAATACAAAACAGTAGTAAATAGTAAAGAGATGAAACTTTATTTCCGTGTCTTAGGATAACCAAAGTCCGTGTTCTAAAATATGTATTTTGATTTGAAAAGTAAGAAACCCAGAACAATATTTTAGTTAATACAAAACAGTAGTAAATATGCAAAATACATTTGATAAGCAGAGCAATGAGGCAAAAGAAATTAAGTATAATAATTGATTTTTAAAATGCAACTTCGTAATGCTTGGCTTCCCCCCCATCCCCTTATGTGTAATCTGTTGTCAGTCTAAACAGTATAGGCATGTAACATAGTGAGTATTGGTTGAACTTAATTACCAAAGCATCAGAAAGGTAATGACACTGGAAGGCCTGATATCCGCATCAGTACGTACTAACCATAATGTGTTTGAGGAAAATGAGGTTAAAAAATACAGTTTTGTGATATACAGTACTTCTTCAGTAAGAGAACTTGTCCAAAAAGAAGACATTCTCTCATAGCACAGATTTCTTGACCATTTCAAACAGCAACATGAAAACTGCTATTACAGTACAACTGCTAATGCTGAGTGATACTTTGGTAAGAACACACATTCCACATCTGTGTGCAATATTGGACATTTCACCATGTTTCGGGAGATTTTTTTTACCCTGACATACTTATTCAAGAGTTTGCTGTGAACCATTGAGATTGATTTGTTTATACATTTGATTCATCAAAACTAAACACCCTACATAGGACCAATAGAGCAGAATTATTCAAGTTCATTGAAATATTAAAATAAAAAAAAAAAAGGCTTCCTTTTTAGGAAAACTCAGCTATGGTAAAAATATCTACTACAGTGCACTGCACTGTAATAAATATTCAACATAAATTAATAATTTACAAGTACCTGAGCAAGTATACAGAGCACCATAGCACAGCACAGCACCAAAGGCAGTAGCTCAGAATTCTTAAAAATAATGCTGTTTTAAACATTAAAAATTCTAAGTATTGTTACAAAAATGAACTCCAGCTGGAGTTTAAAGATAGTGCAAACTTCTGTCTTCACTTTTTGTAATAAAGGTGTCAGATTTCCTAGTCATTTCACATCAGCAGTGTTGCTGGACCTGGATACATGTGGTGGATGCTTAGGAGCAGGTCTGTTGGAAAGAAAGAAAATAGCAAATGGTTATTTAAACTGTTGGTACTTCTCACGGCCAGTGCTTGCTTGAGGCATGTAGAGGAATGGTAAAAACCTCTCAGCGAGTGCTATCGAATCTAACTTCAGGCAAATAGCATGGGGCTGCCATACTGGGACAAGATCTGACACCTTTTACAGCTTACTCACACCCCCTCAATATGCTGAAGTGGTACCCGCAGACTCCTCCCTTGGACTCAGGTGGTAACTCAGTGCCTGGCCAGTGGGATAAGCTCTCTTAGTGTTTCAGGTCTTGTCCTTTAAACTCTACTTTTCCAGGTGCTCACCAGTTTTGCAAAAACTCTACTAAAGGCAGCAGAGTAGCAGTTGGTTTAAAGCAGTGGAAGCAGTCAGCTGGAAGTATTATTACTTTCAGATTATCTTACTAGAAGGCACAGCCAGGGACTTAATCAAAGTGCATTCTTATGGTCTTTCTCTACAAGTATTAGTAAACTAACTAGATTCTATTTTTAATTTTTCTAAGCAATATTAAGTGCCTCACTAGCAGAATTCCTGTGGCTTAAAATACTACTTTCATCTTCCCTGCAGCTCACTTTTTATTCATAGGAAGCTGAAGACTATTGGGCAAGAAAATAACGACTTCAACTTTTTTTTTTTTCTCTAAAGCAATTGGAATTGTTGTTTAAACAGTCAATAGCAGCAAAGTAAGAAATTTTAGATACAGTTTTGTATACAGTCCCTAAGAGTAATCCATCAAAGGCTGGATGTTTCTTTATTAGAGAAGGAGAAAATGGTGATATTCGATAATTAATTATTGTACAATTAGTATGGACCTGTGAGAAATCAATTTAAAAAAGTCTTGACATATTAAACATTCTGTTACCAGAAAGTGAGTAATCTCAGAAAGCAGCAACAAAAAGATGGAAGGAAATCAGCAAGTTTGTTACTAACTAATGCTCAAAAAAATAAATGGCAAGTCTGTCTCTATTATAGAACAATACTGTGGTGTAATATCACTGTATGATCTTTTTGGACAGTGGGGTGTGGGAATGCATACTTTAAAGGAAGTTTGACAGGATTGTTGAAGCTTTCTGTGCTGCTGAGACCTATGATTTGGCATATCAGAGTTTACCTACAACTAAACTGTTTGCCTCTTGCATGTATTTCTCTAGGGACTACACAGATCTGAAAAATAATCTTGACACATAGTTTTCATCATGTGAAGAGTCTGGACTGCACTGCCTAACAGCATTTTTTTTCTTTAGTTTTCAAAACTCAAGCTTTCTTTTTTTTTGTCAGAAAAGAAGCTACAATCTGCCTTTATGACGTACTAGACCTACTGAAAATCTCTGCTGCAACTATTTACCTGTTGTTTTTTTTTTCTTAGTTGTCCATCCAATTTAATTACTATGAATTCTTCCATTTACATACATACTCTTTACATGCATACTTATATGTTTGTATATACACCAACACGCTCGTTCCTATATAACGAAATCCCTGCATTCCTCCTCGTTCTTTCAACTTCATTGACATTATGGAATGGATTACCTTCTGATAATTTTGAAATATAACATAATGGACAAAACCTCTTTACAAAGATTGCTTGCCAATAAGATATTTTTAATCTGATAAAATAGTTCATATACAGGACACGTATGCATTGCTGAGCCTTTAAATCTTGATTATTCCCCCTCCATCACTAGTAGGGATAGTCACTTCACTTCTAGATTTTTATTTTTTTATTCTTAACATTCCTTTTTGGATAAATATAACTTATGTGTTTTCTGAATATTTGGGGTATTATATTCAGATGACTTAAAGTAGTGTTCTACTGTGGAATGTGTGAGTAGAAAATTGCTTTCATTGGTGGCAAATTTTAACAGCAGCACTTGGTTCTCAGCCTAATTCTGTAAGGGGGCTGGCTAAGTGTTTTTATTTATTTATTTTTATTCTTTTTCCCTGCAAGAGTTTTCAGAAACTGGTGTTTATTAACTCCTTTCTCTTCCAAGGAATTGCAAATAGTAATTGGGCAGTGTTTTTGCCAGCTGCTTCCAGTAAGACCTCCATTATAAATTCTCATAGTCCTGTGGAAGTCAGTACAATTTTGCTAGTGTACTCTTGTTGGGAATCAGTCCAATACTGCATGCTTTTATATGAGCAGGTAGAAAATGTTTGTCGCGTAGCCCTCAGCAATAGATACAGCAGAGCTCAGCTCCTCAGAGCACAGAGGATCTGCTCTAAGACAATTTAGACCTGCCTTATTGAACCGAGTGCTACAAGCCAAGCCATTTTGATGAGGAGAACTAACCTTACAGGAGTAATGGGAGGCACAGCTTTTGTGTGTCCAAGCACTGGGGTGCACGCACTGTTATAACGAGCTTTGTTCAGAGGATCTGCTGGTAGAGGCTTCCGAGGGGGGTTTGGCTTGTGGTTTTCCTGTTATAAAACACAAGGTCATCATATTAGTCTTTATAATTGACATAATGGATTTAACATAGCAACTCCTGAGCAAGAGCAAGGATAAGTTCAGTATAGTTGTGACCAGATATGTTTAGATGAGTAAGCCATAACGTATTTCCAGTAAAGAGGCACCTACATTTTAAAACAAAGCTTTAGGGATTTTGTTTCTTTTTTTTTTTTTTAAAAAAAAAAAAAAAAAACTTCAAAAACACTGGGTGCATCCATACTGAAATTAATGGTAAATTACTAGCAAATGAAGAACAACACAGATTGAATACATACAGTTTCAAATTATTAAATAAATAAAATATATATATATATATGCACATATATAAAGGTGGAAATACTAGAAATTACTTTATAATACAAGTTTAGATGACCACAGAAGCAAACTGCCTAAGTCTGGTTTGAATTGGGAGCATCTGTGGAAACTTTTGTTTAGAGATGCTGCTGTGCTTTCATTTTGTGGAATTAAATGATTTATTAATAAGGAACAGAAGTCATCTGCTATCGGGCTTGAGCTAATGTCTTTTCTGTGTGGTCCTTGAAACCCTGCAAACAGGGTAGTGTATCTATCTGTGGTCTTCATCTTGAAGAACTGGGATAGATTAGATGACTTGTTCAGGTCACACAAAGACTCTCAAATGTATCCAAAACCTCCAGATCCATCTGCTTTTCAAACTGCATTGTCATGCTTTCTCTGAAAACATTGCACAGAGTGATTTTACTCATCACTATTAGTTTGCCATAACTATCATTAACAAAGTTGACCAAAAAGAAACAAGAAAAGTTTACATGTGTTATTTAGTTAAATATCTTCTGAAGGATGTTATGAAAACAAGAGGCGTGAATTACTCACAAATAAAGTACAAGTTTTAATTATTCATACTGAGCATCCTTTCGTTTTCATTTTGTGATAAATGTTGACTCTTCCAAAAAGGAAATGCAGCGTGACTATCAGTAAGCATTTTGATTAAAAAAAAAAAAAGGCAAAATTTAGACCTTAACTAAATCTATATTGTATGTAATCACTTCAAATTTACCACAAGCTATACTTCAAGGCTGTATATAATGTTGCATTTCTTTTTACTCTCAGCATATGTACTAGTTCATAAATGAATGAGAAATAGCAACATGAAAAACAAAACTTATTTTAACTTGTTGTAGTGACCAAATCTCATATTCTGTATAAAAGTTAGTCTTGACCAGCATACAGAAGAACTTTTTTCATGACAAAACAAATAAAATATTTTGCTATAAGCAGCTTGTGAGAAAGGAAAAGCTCCATCTCTGGGGGAGAAAAATATTGCAGATATTCTTGAAATAATCAGGCCTGGTAAATGTTGAGATAAATATCAGCTTGTTAAAACACAGTGTAGCTTTATCTCACAGGGCTGTCCTGCAGAAAGTCACAGAGTTTAATTAAACACTAGAGAAGGAAGTTCTTCAAAACACAGTCCTTTCCAGCGATACAGAACTGAACAACCCTAAAACTGTTAAGAAAAGAAATCTTACCATCAGGATTTCTTAGGAAAGCTTACTTTGTGCACTAAACTTCTTACACAATGAAACCTTAATGTGTGTTTTGAAGTAAAGGATACCAATATGGAAAAAGTTAGCATTAGAAAGTGATAACTTTTTAATAACTGGTTTAGATTTACAGTAAAAATAAAGCTTTTAAAAGTCACTATATTTATTGCATAGAAAGTTATATACAACTTTATTTGCAGCCTCATCACCTTGAGTAGTGCAACATAAAAAAAAAAAAAAAACACAAAACAGTAAAACACAGAAACAACAGCAGCATAAAGACAGCAATAAGGAATGCGTCTTTGAACACTTTAAAGCCTTTATTCCCCTAACTGCCTCCACAAAAGCAGTCTTTTTCCTTGAGTACACCTGAATTAATCACCTGAATTAGTCTGATCACATGAGTATTCATCTGTTTGCTTGATCAGTTCTTAATTGTTATTGCATGATTTGTATTCACTGTTCAATTAGAAGAGAGCTTTAGGTACCATACTGGGAAGGGGAACTGATGCAGGCTCGGCAGTCTAGAGAAGTGAGTCTTGATCTGAAGAGCTTAAGATCTGGTAATGATGAATGAACAAAAAGAGATGAAAACTGTCCCAGTTTGTTTGTTCTTATTAGCTATGCCCTGTGTCTAATCACCACCT